CACACTGTGCCTTTATTGGGGAGGGAGATGAAGCTGTTTTGGTCAAACCTTAAAAATTGTTACAGTTTCATGCAAGATGTGTATGTGCTGAGGATGACTCAGCTGCTATGAAATTTCAGCTCATCATTTGTAAAAGAGGCTGAGTTACAGCCAGTTTTGTGTCGGTTAATGTTGATTAACTGTGGGGGACATCTTGAATTAGGGTGACACTAAAAGTTAATTGGTTCAAGATGAACATCTGTTGATTACTTTCTGAAAAATTCAATTAAAAAAAAACTAAATCCATCCAGTGTCTCATGAGATGTGTTGTGAATGACTCACAGCTACAGCCACACTAAATTTTAGCTCAATWTGTGTAAAATTGAATTRAAATAAATTGATATTGTCGCTCCGATATCCTGTGTACCTCTGAAAATACAATTGAATGTATTTTAMAAATTAACAAATCCCATGTAGACTGGTGAGCTAAACCTTTTCCTCCTGAATCCAATGCTCAACCATTGTGAGACGAGGGGGAAAGGGGAACCACCACCTCAGTCTGCCACCCCAGTGGCACTGACCTGATGCTCATGCGGTGTTTGCAAAGGTGTGCAAACTAAAACAGCCCTGAAACTAGTGCACATGTCAAACTCAAGGCCCGTCGCCCACCACAGTATTTTATGTGACCAACAAGAGCTTCAAAAATGTATTGTTTTTAAAATAAGCGCATGCTGCTTTAAAACCAGCATGGATCTCCCATAATGCATGCTATTTTTTTTAACCCACAAAATGATGGCATCCCACCACAAGGTAAAGGTGCACATGATTCAAGAGCAGCTGGCTAAATCTGCCGCGTACAACCTCTATTTTTCACCGGCTCTTTTTGCAGCAGCAGTACTGGTCTTACATTTAAACTGGAACACTCCTCCAGTGGGAATTCCTTGTTGGAAAGTGGGAGAGTTTGGAATTCAAGATGGCGGCTACTCATCACAACTCAACAACAGTGAGTGTAACTATTACTTTTAATACTATTTCTGTATTATTTATTTCACAAATAGTTAGTCGTAAACATAGTACTTTTCAGTGTTTAGGACATGTTAAAATGCTATTTCCATGCAGGAAATACCACATAGAGCTCAGCTATTGTTTGTTAGCTGTGCTCATCTGTAACAATGAGACGAGTAACGTGACGATTCACCCTTAGTCGAAGTTAAACGAAACGCTAAAGTCAAGTACAGCTGACCCTTTAAGGGCAATCGTAATGCTCATGTGGCCCTCCTCTGAAAAGGAATTTGATAATCACAATCTGGAGCCTTGAGGTCCTCAGGATGGATCTTGTTGTTTGTGGAGCTTTTTAACTCCCCATTAAACCTCCGTCACCCCGAAAACTTCCTTCATGGAAGTTGTGCCGGTGGGATTGAGAAGATCCTCAGAATATTCACCCCAGCAATAGATGACATCAGTGGTTGAGGTCAACAGCACCCCACCTCCACCTTACACACTTAGTAAAACACCRCTTCCCTATTTCTGAAATTGTCATTACAGACACAAATATGCTTGTTTCCTTTCACGGCCAGGCCTCCCTCACAAAAGAGATCTGTCATCTCAATGGGATTTGCCTGGTTAAATAAAGTTTAATAAATTATGCACACAGTGGTTCACGAGATTGTTTTCCTTACAGACACAGGTAACAGTTCGTTTTGTTTTGTTTATTGCTAAGATATGAAAAAAAGAGGGAAGCTTTCGAGGTCGAGGTGAGAAAATTTCATATGTGTCTGCACGCTGAGAGCCATATGGGTGAGTATGAAACAGTTTCACAGGATGAGTTTATTCCTCAGGAGGACAAAACAGGATCTTTATGTGTGAAATCGAAGATGTGGTCTTTAAAAGTCCCATGTTCACTGTGAGGGGCAATGAAAGTGTTTTTCTTGTCGCTGTTTTGTAGGTTGACTTCTAAAAAAGACTTCAGTGCAGCCTTGTCTACTATACATACATACATACATGCATACATACATACATACATACATACATACATACATACATACATACATAC